AAATTTCCTGCTCCTCTGATGCTACCTGGCCTGCTGTGTTCCTCCAGCTCCACTCTGTGTTATCTCTGACTCCAGCATCGGCAGTTCTTGCTATCTCACATTGATATTATAATTTGACATGTAACAGCTTTTCTATTTTAGGGTTTGCTTAATACTTGTGTCGAGTATGAAGAACCAGATTGTGTTGTTGCTGACATTCTGAACGTTGCTAGAACATGTTGTCCTCTGCTCTTATTATCTGCAACGGTAAGGACAGCCATATATATTGTCATGTTTGTGTGCAAACATTGCTGCTGTCTTTATTTGTTTATGTTTAACTCAGCAATGACTTCTGGTAGTCATTTTCCATGAGTTCATAAGCTCTTCCTGTAAGGCATAGACACTGGAGTCTCAGGACAATACATTCAATCAAACCACATTATTATCATTAACCAATTAGCTAATAATTAATGTACTGTATATTCACTTGTTTAGTGTATGTTAGAATTCCTGAGCAATGTATTTGATAATAAAGGTATTTATTATCAAGTAATAAAGGTATTTGATATAATTGTAAATGCATGATCAAATGAGAGGTTGTGCTGTGCAATTAGCTAGTGCACACCAAAGTTACACCCATTTGAATGTATCCCTGAACAACTATTAGAAAATTAATATATTTTTTAAGTTCCAGAATTGTGATTGTAACACCTTTCAAGCAAAGTTCATTCAACAGTTAGTGTACCTCTTTGTACAGAGGGTGCTTTGAATTCACATTTAAAATTTGGTTTGTTCTCTTTTAAGACTTTTGTGAAATATAATTGTATTATCATCTGTTACATCTCGTGCATTTTTTTTTCACAAACAACTCCATAAGAAGGGCTAACCTCGTGTACAACTAAAAATAATTTGATTGTTTAAATTGTTGAGTTGGCTGAGGCATACTTGAACATATTAATAATAAGCAATTGTTCACCTCCCGATGCTAACCTTCTCTCCTTAATAACGGAGATAAATATAGGGCCTTAGAGAAAGGAAACAGTTTTGGAACCAAAATGTTTCGATGGTAAGACCATTTAATTTCTTTCTTCACCTCTAGTAATTTTTTTCAGAATATTGTACTGACTTCAGATGACCTGTACAGGGGAATGGGTGAGGCTGAGAAGATGGGGCCTTCATAGTGATCTCAGTCAGTACAGGAGTTAGTGTTTGTATCACTGCATTACAAACCAGCTTCCAGCTAACTCAGCTAATCAACCATCATTTTTCCTTAGCATGTTTCACTTTGTCCCACAAGCTTATTGTCTATTTGGGTTTAATCACGATTTGTCTATTAATTAAGAAGTGGGATGTTTTTTGTTCTTGAAAATGTTTTGAATATAAAACTACTAAACTTAATACAATTATTAATAATATTTCATGTCAACCTGTTCTGCCTTGTTCCGGAAGTTTTGGTGGCTGAGATTGGAGCCGGTGCTGATTACACAATGGAAACGGCTTACTGATGATACATTTCCCAGAGAATTACAGAGGATGGTAGACAACCAGTGCTGGGCCAACAGGTAACACAGGAAGAATTACATCTACATAATGACTATTTGGAAATCAAAGGACACTCCTCCTCCAGTGAGTTGTTTAATTGTCCTCCACCATTCACAACTGAATGTGGCAGATCTGCAGACCTTAGACCTCATCAATTGGTTGTGGGATTGTTCAGCTATGTCTATCATCTGGTTTTTATGCTTGGCATATACAAACTTTGTTGTATCTGTACCTGGCTGACACCTCATTTTCACACTTTCCAGATACTGTTCCTGGCATGCCCACCTGCACTCTTTACTGAACCAGGGTTGAGCCCCTGGCTTGATGGTAATTGTAGAGTGGGGAATATGCCGGGCCATGAGGTTGCAGCTTCTGTTAGAGTACAATGCTGCTGCTGATGGTCTGCAGTGCCCAGTCACAAATTATTCGATCTGTTTGAAGTCCAGCATTATAAATCCAGTGACATACCACAATGCTATTGCCTCTCCAATAACTTCATCTCTCTATATGAGAATCCTGGTTAGAATTTAGCAGTGACAGCACTATGCAACGCCATGGATGGTGTCCTTGTTATGTGTATGTGCTTTTGTCTTCAAAAGGACTGTGTGGTGGTTACTCTTAGCAATACTGTCATAGACAGATGAATCTGCGGGAGGCATATTGGTGAAGATCAGGGCAAGTATGTTTATTCCTCTTCTCGATTCCTTCACCACCCGCCACAGACTCGGTCTGGCAATTAGGACCTTTAGGACTTGACCAGCTTGGTCAGGAGTGCTGCTGCCAAGCCATTCCTGGTGGTGGTCGGTGGCGGAGTACATGGTTATCAGCAGGAAGCTTCCTTGCCCGTGTTTCACCTGAGGCTGTAGAACCTCATTGTGTCCAGAGTCAATGTTGAGGACTCTTGGGGCAGCTCCAAAAGTGCTGCCACCTGTGCTGGGTCTGTCCTGCTGGAAGTGTGGGACGTATCAGGGATGATGATGGTGCGGTCGAAGACATTGTCTGTAAGGTGTGATTCTGTGAATGTGACTGTCAATCTGTTGTTTGGTTAGTCTGTGAGAAAACTCTCCCAAATTTGGCTCCAAAACTCAGATGTTGGTAAGGAGGACTTTGCAGTGTCACTATAGATATCGTAGGCTTTCCCTTAGTTGTTTCATACAACTGAAGGCTTGCTAAAGCGATTCAGAGGGCATTTAAAAGGTGGGGTCTGAAGTCATACGTAGACCAGACCCGGGATGACAGCAGATTTCCTTCCCTCAACGACATTGGTTTTTATGATGGTGGCTTCGTGGTCATCGTTGGTCTATTTTAATTCCAAATTTCTGTTGAATTCGAATTCGACCACGTGCTGTAGTGAGATTCATTTCTTTGGGTCTAAATGCAATACATTATTACGCACTTGTCATATCCTGTTAAGAGGCCATTGTAAACAAATCAGAAATATTTCTGAAGTTTTTGTGGCTTTTAATGTATTTTTTATATATGGGATGCAAAGCCTGTGAGGATGTTTCACCCAGTGAAACGTTCAGGAATTCCCATGCACTGCTACAATATATTTAGTGATTACATCTGTGATTGTTCTCACTTTCAAATGTAGGTAGGAGCAGTGGCCTGTCATTGCAGTGTTGATAATTAAGACACTAAAGGCTAATATAATCTCAGTTTGTCTAAAAAAAATAAGGTGTAAAACAATGGCTACTATAGTGATGAAGTTGGGTATTGATTAAAGATAACGATGTGCAGGGAACAATTAATCTCTAAGGTTATGTTAAAGTTTAAGTGAGAAATGGGAACATAAAGCGCATAGAATTGTACTTGCAGTATTTGTTATCAACAACATGATAGTGTGTTTAAACAAGCACACAATGCAAAATGACCCCTTGCTTTATTAAAGTGTTCATTATTGAATCAAGCATTGAAATATCTCTCAATCACAAAATAGTTTTCGCATTCAGTTTAAAAGGAGGTGTATTACCTCAGACCTGTAGCCAAGGAACCCTGAGAGACTGAGCCTCATTCAAAAATGGTCAATTTGAGGAGTGTGCTGAAGTTCTTCCTCTCTCTTGATTAACTAAAGTGCTCCAAATGAGTGAAGATTGATTGGGCCAAGACTTGCTGACAATATCTGATACATGATAACACCCATTTATTATTTTGCTCAAACTTTCAGTGAGTTGGTGATTTGCCGACTCCTACAGTCAGAAGGATCATGGGTTCGATGCCAGGTCAGTCCTGACCTTGTATGGAGCAGCTGTAGGGATGGTAATACTTGTTTCACCACTACTTTTGTTTGTTAAATTTGTGGTGGAGGGTAGATTGTGTTAGACAGAGAATCCTACTTATTGTCCTGACCAATGGCAATGGTGAACAGAATGCTGCTGCCCTTGAAATTTCTGCTGTGCCTTTCTTCTGGGAACTTCTGATTCTGGTTGTTGAAGAAATGTGCAGCGCAGAGTTCCTCAGGGAACAGACTAGAGTCTGGAGAAGATGAAACGTGTCCCATTTTTACAGCACCTAGCTCCATATGGTAAGTTTCAAGGTCCTGATGTGAATGTGGATGGATGGACAGAGTGGTAGATGGGTGAATGGGTACTTGAGGCATGAATTGGATGTTAACTTTTTTTATTCATTTAGGGGATGTGGGCGTCACTGGCTAGGCCAGTATTTATTGCCTGTATCAGAGGGTAATTAAAGTCAACCACATTGCTGTGGGTCTGGAGCCACCTGTAGGTCAGACCGGATGAGGATGGCAGATTTCCTTCCCCAAAGGGCATTGGGGAATGAGATGGGTTTTTTCCTGACAATCGACAAAGGACAATTACAGATTTTTATTGAATTCAAATTCAAAACCCGGCTCGCCAGAACATTACCTGGGTGTCTGGATTAACACTCCAGCAATAACACCACTGGGCTGCCACCTCCCCATTTTTATTCCAGTCTATTCTCTAATCTATTCCAGTCCAGTCAGGAGGGTAGTCAGGTAGTTGGGGATCAAGTGGAGGGCAGCACGACAGCTCAGTGGTTAGCACTGCTGCCTCACACCGCCAGGGACCTGGGTTCAATTCCACCCTCAGGTGACTGTGTGGAGTTTGTACATTCTCCCCTCTGGCAGGCGCTCCAGTTTCCCCCCACAGTCCAAAGATGTGCAGGTTAGGTGGATTGGCCATGATATATTGCCCATAGTGTTTAGGGATGTTCGCCATAGGAAGTGCAGACTTGGGGATGGGTCTGGGTGTAATGCTGTTCAGAGGCTTGGCTGGTGTTGACCAGTTGGGCCGAATGGCCTGTTTCCACACTGTAGGGTTCTATGGCTCAATGGATTTGAGGAATGTCAGGAGGGTTAGTCTGGTTTGGTCAGGGCTTGTAGTCAGGTGTTCAGTGTGCAACCAGATCAGGTTGAGTTGGAATGGGTAGTCTGGTGGATGGGAGGATCAGCTAAGGTTGGGGATTCAGCTAGTGTGTGAGCTAGGTGTTAGATTAGGTATGCATCTGCCTAACATTCTCTGAGGAACTAAAGTAAGTACTGCAGAACTGTTGCACCATTTTCAGAGTTCCAGCAAGCAGGGAAATCGCTCATGGGAAGGTTAAACTTCCCAGGTCATTCCCATGTAGGTCTTGATAATCCAAGGACCAGAGGATTTGGCCTGTTATTTCTCTTATGTGAAATTAAGTCCTATCAGAGTTGACTGTCCTGCCCCCTACTGTCAAATAGTGTCATTCTCCTTGAACTGGCTGCCTGAAGACAGTTCCTACCCACAATCTAGCAATGTCCACCACAGATGGGGGGAAGGAGGCAGGTACTAAATCCATCCCACCGAGCATAGGGATTGAACCCTGTCCATTCGGATGTACACTAGCCCACCGATCCCCTAAGGAGTCTGATTGCAGCAACATACACTTTTAAAGGCATGTTCTAGCCTGGAGCAATGGATAGTGATAGTCGACACTTTTTCATTACATGGCTGTTAGGCTGGAATCACTCTTAACCACCTGACATTGGCAAATTTCATATGGTTTTCCAAGTTGATAGCCTGTTTGGCTGCTTTATTCTCACATCTCCAGCTACCAACTGCTGGAGTCTTGAACCCACAGCTTTTGGCTCAGTGGTAACGATGCTACACACTGTATATGCCGTGCCACGCCACAAGGGCTCTTTGGCACTCATTACCTACGGTGATTTTTTTAAAAATTCATTTGTGGGATGTGGGTGTCGCTGGCTGGCCAGCATTTCTTGCCCATCCCTAGATTGCACTTAAAGGTTTTGGAAGGGAACTGAAAACAGTGAAATCATGAGGTGTTACATCCTCCGGAGAGACAGGGAGAAAACAGCAATTAAAAAGGTCATTAATTTAATAATAATGGTACTTGCAACAGAACTAGAGCTGTCATTGTCCAATCGGATCAGGTTTGGATAATATCTCTATTTATATTTTGGAAATAAATTGGATTTTTCCTTGTGATTCCACAGTCAGCAATGAAGCTTCTTTGCTTTTAAACTGTAAGAAATTTTGAGAGTGCATGAATTTAAAAAACATGCTGTAAATTAGTAAATTTCAGCAGGGTCAGCCTGACCTCTGTGTCTGCCCTCTCCTGGCAATCCCCATTCACAAACTGCCATTACTGCTTGAAGTATCAGATTCAATGATTTAAATGTTTTGTTTTTTTAAAAATTTTTATTACAGGTTACTTTCAGGGAAAACGGAATGCTCACCACCTGATATTCCCTGGATTGTTGGTGCCTTTTTATATTTCACCGTGAAAAGGAAAGCTGGACAGGCAATACTTCAGACAATAATGAGAAAGATCTGTTCTGAAAATGAGCTGGTAAACCTATCGCTTACTGCCATCTTTTCTTTCAATGTAATAGTATACGCCTCTTCACATAAATGCTCAACATACCTAGTGCTACCTCCACCCTTTAAAGGCCTAACATCAAGACCTAGATAAGCCAATATTTCCTCTAGTGAAAACAAACTCATCATCTTTTGAGATAGTAAGAAGTGCCAATACTGGAGTCAGAGATAACACAGTGTGGAGCTGGAGGAACACTGAAGAAGAAATTTGTTAAGAAGGGTCCCGACCCGAAACGTCAGCTTTCCTGCTCCTCTGATGCTACCTGTCCTGCTGTGTTCCTCCAGCCCCACTCTGTGTTATCTCATCATCTTTTGACTTTTGTCAGATCTTTAACTTTTGTTGCTGCCCCCTAGAGGACTAGGTCAGAAAATTCAAGACCTTTGCTTGCAGACCCACTCTGTTACATGGAGCATTTTTTTTCATGTGTCTCCCCAACACTGCTCACTCCAAACACTGCCTGTTTTACTGAACCTTTTCTACTTAAATCATAGTCTTCAATATCCAAAGGCTGAACTTCTAACATTCTCCTAAGTAGCTTCTTTGCCTTGACCCTCCACATGCTACAACTCATTCAAAATGTTCTATTCTCTAATAGTTTCAGATCACCCTCTTGGGCTTTAAATCCATCCTCAATGTGTTTTTTTTTGATAGTACATTTGGTCCTGACTTTGTCCTTCTCAGTTTCTCTCATTCCTCCTCCTGCTCTCTTGATTTGCCCTTTTATACTTGAGTACTTTGAGATATCTCTCTGTATGTGAAAAATGCATATTGTCGTTCGTATATTATTATATAAGGCTACAAAAGGACTGGAATAGAATTCTTTAAAATGTAAAAGCAAATGGTGCACCAGTTTTTTTTGATCAAAAGCTCAGACAATAATTTTCACTGTGATCTGCACATCAGACCCTTCTTATCTAACCTGCCATTTCCTTGTTTTCCTTTCATGTGTTTATTTTACTTTCCTTTTTGATGTCTTATTATTTTTAAATCTAAAAAGATATTTTTAAATTATTGCACAAACAAATCATGCTCTTTTTCTACACGTCCCCACCATGTTTTCTGAGAAAATGTGAATATCTTAAAAAAAAATCTATTTCCTGAATTGCTATCTATGAACATTTTGAATTATATCTGCTAGTCAATATCTTGAAGTCTAACAAAGTATACCTCGATAATTAATGCCTAAGCTGCTTTGGGTTTGTACCTGAGGCAATAATAAGATTAGAGAATGTGTGATGTTGAAGGTCACAATGGAAGTAGCAGCTTCGACAGAAACTTTGGCTTTCACATTTTAAAAATTTCTCCTTTTGCAGTTCTGTTGTATCCTTGTGATCTAAAGATTGCTGGATTAGATTATGGAAAAATTTTGATTTTTCCATTTGAAGAGACATTTGACCCAAACAGCCTGTGTCATGAAGCTACATTCTGTAAAATAAAATGAAGATTCTATATATTTTGTTAGTGGTATCAAAACCTTGTGATTCATGAAAATTGATCTATTATTCACACAATCTATTACATTTCCAGGTTTCAGTGCTATGTTTCAGTTTGGTGGATTTGATCTCATCCCTATTGAAACCAAAGGTAAATATGTATTGTTTCATCCTTTCAAATGTTTGACGATTGAAGCAAAAAAAATGCTCTAGCTATTTTAGTACACATTATTCATGTTGTTGGCAGGCATCCAATTGCCTTTGGTGTGTCTAGCCTGCAGAATGGTTGTACAGCTCACTGTTGATGGTTGTGTGTCTGGGCTTGCGAGAATTTGTACCTCAAGGAATCTTTTTCCATTCTGTCAAATAGACGTAGATGGTTTGTTGACCGTGCCCTAGGCATGGCTGTGCAGTGTGGATAAGTTACTGCCATCAAGAAAGGAAGCTCGGCCATGCTCATCTGAGTTCTGAGGCCCATTCTCTGTTTCTGACAGAAGGACAAAATCAAGAGTGCAACAGTGCTCTCAAAGGGAAACCTCCCAAGTACATCAGCGTTGATCAGGCAGAGCCGTCTTTGCTGGCTCAGAAAAGCTCAATGAATGGAAGACTGACACATTCCCAAGGATCTCCTGAATGATAGGAAAATGGAGTTGAGGATTATCAGATCAGCCATGACCTCATTGAATGGAGGAGCAGACTCAATGGGCTAAAAGGCCTACTTCTGCCCCAGTGTCCTGTTATCGGGGTGAGAAGACCAGTAGGATGTCCAAAGCTTTGCTTCAGAGACAGTTGCAAATGCGACATGTAGCCCCAAGATATTGATTTTTCACGCGTAGGAGACAGTAGTAAAGTAGGAAAAGCGACATTACCTGTGGACCAAAATGTCCACCATGGTGCTCACTGACTTGGCAACTGGCACCAACACCAAAAAGAACAACCGTCAAGGACACCTTAAACTTTACATAGGGGTGTGGGTTACTTCAGCCGTCAGCAAATGTGCATGATGTGAATCTATCCATCATCAATGGATTTATATATGAATATATGAATTAGGAAGGGGAATAGGCCATTCAGCCCCTCGAGCCTACTTTGATAAGGTCATGGCTGATCTGAATTTGGCCTCAGCTCCACTTTTCTGTCGAGCCACCACTGCTCCCGCCTTTTGTTTTACACTTGTCTCCTTGTCGATCAAGAATCTAACTCAGCCTTGAATATATTTAATGGCCCAGCCTCCAATGCTGTGTGAGAACGCAGATTCCTTGAGCTAATGACATTCTAAGAGAGAAAATTCCCCATCCTAAAAAAGAGAGCTTTTGTTTTTTTGCCAGTACACCCTGGTTCTGGGTTGCACGTGATGGAAACATCCTCCCAGCATCGACTTTTTCTAGTTTCTTCAGGACCTTGCATGTTTCAACAAGATCATCTGTCGCTTTTCTGAACTCCAATAGTTATAGGTCCAATCTATTTAACCTTTTGCTTGTAAGATGACCCCTTCATCCCAAGAATCAGTTGACTGAACCTTCTCTGTTTGACTTGTAATGCGATTTTATCCTTGTTATCAGAAATGTACACAATATTGCAGATGTGGTCTCACTAAGACCCTGTATAGCTGTAACCAAACCTTCCTACTTTAATTCCACTTGCAAAATAAAACATTCCATTCACCTTTCTAATTGCATGCTGTACCTAAATGCTAACCATTGGATTCATCTACCAGGACACCTAGATCTCTCTAACACAGAATTCTACAGCCTCTCTTCTTTTAAATGTTGTACTGTTTTTCTATTCTTCCTGACAAAGTGGACATTTTCCCACATTATAATCCATCTACTAATTTTTTTAAGATAGAGCCAGTAAATGAACATGAGAGCTAGCTCTCATCTTTCTTTCCTTCTTGTTTTACTGCCTACCTTTTGTGTTTCCTTCAAATTTAGCTAATTTTGTCCCTTCATTTGCTGCATGCCCATCATTTTTTATTGGATGGGAGGATATCAGTTATTACATTTTTCCTGTTCACAGTGAAACCATTAGCCCCATATCGCAATCCAGTAGCTTTTATATGAAGGAAAAGGAAGAAGAAAACTTGCTTCCGTGCTTAGTCGAAGGAAACTAAGTCAGTACTTGAAATTACTATTTGTTGAACACTTGTACAATTGTAATGTAACTGAAATGTGTAATATCTGAGTAAGAAATGCGTATATATATTTGTTTAGCCTAGGATTCTCTGTTGCACTTCACCTGTAACTTTGGAAACTCTGCACCTTCAAGGATTTCACTCTTTAACCATTACATATGTTGCAGTAAGAGAGAATCTTGAAATATTTCAGGGTTATTTGAATATGTGCATTCCATTTGAATAGATGATCTATAATTTTCTTTGAAATTTTTTGAGTCTGCTTCTCCCGTATTGCTGCAAGTCTGAAAATGTTGTTTCCCCTTACAAAAGGATTCTGCGACATTAACTGTTGCATTAAAAACATGTGCTGATGTGATCTTGGTGTTGGAGGAGCAGAACAAATCCTGGCTTAATATATTTTCAGTGGCGAATAAGGGTAAGCTGCATCACCTTGTCCTGACTTATTTTTATCCAGTTTCGTTCAGCTGTTGTCTGAAATGTGAACCTCTTGTTTATTGATCCAAATTAATGTTGCCCTATTTCTTCTAACACCACATATTTTATCAGAGTAAAACATTCCCAGATGCTTCAGAGAAACATTTGACATTGAACTAGTGAAGAAGATAATAAGACAAAGAGGCAGATTTTAATGTGCATCTTAAAATAAGAAAGGGAGGTAGAGGAAGTTGGGGGGCTGGGGAGCTGGGGAGCAGAATGATGGGGCTTGGGGCCTAGACAGATGAACTTATGACGATGGAGTGATTAAAATCAAAAGGATACACAAGGTGCCAATATCAAAGAGCCCAGAAATCAAGCTAGGTTGGAGGATCAAAGTGGGTGAAATAGAGAGAGCCAAAGCTATGAAGGCATTTGAAATCATGAATATTACTACAGTGAGAACCACCGTATCTCAGCAAGTATGGGGGTGAGGGATGAATGGCACATGGAGTGAGTTATGATATTACCATTTGGCAAGTCTGTAAGACGAGAATGAAATTAATAAAATCAGTTTCCGTTCTTGTTGTAGAGTCATAGTTATACAGCACGAAAACAGATCCTTTGGTCCAACCAGTCCATGCCGAACATAATCCCAAACTAAGCTAGTAGCACCTGCCTGCTCCTGGCCCACATCCCTCCAAACCTTTCCTATTCACGCACTTATCCAAATATCTTTTTAACATTGTTATTGTACCAACATCCACCACACCTTCAGGAAGTTCATTCCACACGCGAACCACCCTCTGTGTAAAAAATTTGCCCCTCATGCCTTTTTTAAATCTTTCTCTTCCTCTCGCCTTAAAAGTGTACCCCCTAGTCTTGAAATCTCCCATCCTAGGGAAAATACAACTACCATTAAGTCTATCTATACACCTCATTATTTTATAAACTTCTATAAGGTCTCCTTCTCAACTTCCTACACTCCAGTGAAAAATGTCCCAGTCTATCCAGCCTTTCTTTATAACTCAAGCCTTTCATTTGCAGCAACATCCTGGTAAATCTCTTTTGAATCCTCTCCAGCTTAATAATATCCTTCCTGTAACTGGTTGACCAGAAGTGGACACAGTAATCCAGAAGAGGCCTCACCAATGCCCTGTTTCTACCTGAACATGAAATCCCAACTCCGACATGGAAAGGATTGAGCAATGAAGGCAAGTGTGCCAAATGCCTTTTTTAACTGTCCTGCCAATATGAGACGCAAACTTCAAAGAATTATGCACCTTAACTCCTAGGTCCTTCTGTTCTACAACACTACCCAAGGCCTTACCATTAATTGTATAAACTCTATCCTTGTTTGTTCTATCAAAATGCAATACCTTACATTTATCCAGATTGAACTCCATCTACCAGTTTTCAGCCCATTGAGCCATTTGATGAAGATCCCTTTGTAATCCTAGAAAATCTTCTTCATTGTCTACTATGCTACTAATTTATATCAGAAAATGTACGATACACCTTCTAAGCACATAGTAAAGTTTCAGTAATGGTTAGGATTGGATTGGATAATTTATTATCAAATGTGTGATTAATAATTATTTTAATTTGTCTTTAACCATTTCTGGAAAATAAGTTATACTAACTTATTTATTTAGCTGCATGTGTGTGGCTACAATGTATGTTTCACAAGAGAAAGAGTAAAAACACTGGAAATAGGTTTGTAAAATCAGGAGGCATATGGATAGGGTTAATAGTTGGTGTCTTTACCCATGGGGAATTTCAAGACCAAGGGTCATCTATTTAAAAAGACATGAGGGGTAAACTTTTTACACCGAGGGGGCGGTTCACGTGTGGATTGAACTTCTTGAGGAAGTGGTGAATATGGGCACAGTTACAACATTTAGAAGATATTTACATAATTGCTTGAATAGGAAAGTTTTGGATAAATATAGGCCAGGAGCAGGCAGGTGAGACTAGTTTAGTTTGGGATTATGTTTGGCATAGACTGGTTGGAATGAAGGGTCTGTTTCCATGCAGTATGACTCTATGACTCAGCGGGTCTGCCAATTATGTGTGGAGAGAGAAACTGTAAACATTTCAGATATGTGAGCCTTTGTCAGAACTGAAAAAATTTAGAAATCTATTACATTTCTAACTTTTCCCAGTTCTGGTGAGGAGGTCATTGACCTGTTTAATATTAATGCGGTTTTTGTCACTACAGATGACTGAAATATATACTATTATTTATAATATATCCTGAGTGGTCTTGACAGGGTAGATGTGTAAAGGATGTTTCCTCTTCTGGGAAAAGCTTGAGCTACTTTTTACGATGGAGATGAAGGAAAAATATTCTGAGAGTGAAGAGTCTTTATCAAAAGGCAGTGAAAGCAGAATTTTTGAATATGTTTAAGACAGAGTTAGACTCTTAACAATTGGGAATGAAAGGTTATGTGAAGCTGGGGGAATAATATGCAATCAGATCAGCCGTGACCTCATTGAATGGCACAACAGGCTCAAGAGGCTAATTCGTATGTTTGTATTCTGCAAGACCTGCTGAGTGTTTCCAAAATTTTCTATTTTATTGCATATTTTCAGCATGCGTAGTCTTTTATTTGTGCATGTGTGTGTAATTGTGTATATGCAAGAACCTCACTGTGCTTTTATTCTGCTCCCTACAATGCAGATCGTGGGCCACACCAGATCCTGTACAGCATCCTCTCTGACATGGAGATTAAGCTTCTTCCTGTTGCTTTCTACAGGTATAATGTGAAATCTTCTTTTTAAATCATCAATTCATCAATTATTTCTGCTCAGATTAGGTTAGCAATGTTTGTTGCCTCAAGTAACCAGATTTAAATTTCATCAAGTTTTTGTTGCTAACATTTCATGGAATGCGAATCTCACAGGAATGGCTAGCCTTTATTGCCCATCCTTAACTACCCTTGAGAAGGTGGTGGTGAGCTGCTACTTTGAACTGTTACAACCATCATACTGTTAGGAAGAGAGTTCTACATAATGACAGTTGAGGGATAATAATGCAAGTTTTACATTAGGATGGTTTGGAGAGAACTTTACATTACCTTTTGCTGTTATCCTTCCAGATGGTAGATGTTGTGGGTTTGGCAGGTATTCCTGAAAGGGCTTGATGAATCTTGTATATGCTGCATTTTGCCATCATGCACAGGGAGTAAATGTTTAAGACAGTGGTTAGTTTGCCAGCCAAGCTGCTTTAGTGTTGTTGGGCTTTGCTTATCCAGGTACTGGGGAGTATTTCATCAAGAGCATTGGATGTGATCTATATGGACTGGAGTAAGGCGTTCAACAAGATTCCTCATGGTAGACTGGTTAGCAAGGTTAGATCACATGGAATACAGGGAGAACTAGCTATCTGGATACATAATTGGCTCAAAGGTAGAAGGCAGAAAGTGGTAGTGGAGGGTTGCTTTTCAGGCAAGAGGCCAGTGACCAGTGGTGTGCCACAAGGATAGGTGCTGAGTCCACCGCTTTTTTGTCATTTATATAAATGATTTGGATGTGAACATAGAAGGTATGGTTAGTAAGTTTGAAGATGACACTAAAATTGGAGGTGTAGTGGACAGTGAAAAAAGTTACCTCAGAGTACAATGGGATCTTGATCAGATGGGTCAATGGACCGAGGAATAGCAGATGGAGTTTAATTTAGATAAATGCGAGGTGCTGCATTTTGGAAAGGCAAATCAGGACAGGACTTATACATTTAATGGTAAGGTCCTGGGGAGTGTTGCTGAACAAAGACACCTTGGAGTGCAGGTTCATAGTTCCTTGAAAGTGGAGTCGCAGGTAGACAGGGTAGGGAAGAAGATGTGTGGTATGCTTGCCTTTATTGGTCAGTGCATTGAGTATAGGCGTTGGGAGGTTGTGTTGCAACTGTCCAGGACATTGGTTCGGCCATTTTTGGAGTATTGAGTGCAAAACTGATCTTCCTCCTTTCGGAAGGAAGTTGTGAAACTAGAAAGGGTTCAGAAAAGATTTACGAGGATGTTGCCAGGGTTGGAGTGTTTGAGCTATAGGGAGAGGCTGGATAGGCTGGGGCTATTTTCCCTGGAGTGTTGGAGGCTGAGGGTTGTAGGGTGGATATGCAAGGTTTTTTCCCCGGGGTGGTGGAGTCCAAGACAAGAGGGCATAGGTTTCAGGCAGGAGTGGAAAGATACAAAAGAGACCCAAGGGGTAACTTTTTTTTTCACTCATGTATGCAATGAGCTGCCAGAGGAAGTGGTGGATGCTGGTACGATTACAGCATTTAAAAGCTATCTGGATGGGCATATGAATAGAAAGGGTTCAGAAGGATATGGGCCAAATGCTGGCAAATGGGACAAGATTAATTTAGTATATCTGGTCGGCATGGTTGAGTTGGACCGAAGGGTCTATTTCCTTGCTGTATATCTCTATGATTCTAAAATCCTGACAGGTATCATGTAGGCAGTGGACAGGCTTTGAGGAGTCAGGAGGTGAGTTACTTGCCATAGGATTCCCAGCCTCTGGCCATTTCAGCTGCAGTGTTGATGTGGCTGATCTAGTTAAGTTTCTGGTCATTCATAATTCTCAGGATGTTGGTGGGGCATTCGATGAAGGTAATGTCATTGAACTGTTAACTTCCTGTAAGCAGGATTAGATGCTAAATACCTAGAAATTAAAAGTAGCAAAGCAAATGGGTGTTGTGAACTACGTATATAGGTCCATACAGTGGTTGGTTTGGGCTATGGAGAGGGTAGTAGTTCCCGGGTTTCAGGGTTACATTCTTACCCAGGAGTCTTTGTAGATGGAGCACATGTTGCCTAATGGCATGCCTGAAGCTTTTAGAGGCCACTGGATACGGAGGGTCAGGTGCATTATTTATCATTTTAACAACATTTTAATTTGATCTTCCAGCTTCCTTTTTAGTCACAGTGCTCTGATAGTCTGTTTAAGTTCTTCTTTAATTTGGCTCAATTTGTTTTTGCAAAAAGAGTATTTAAATGTATATAGAGGCAACCGGAAGTTGGCAGAGTTTTATGGCGTCTGGTTGCTTGAAATAAATCTCTAACTTTAAAACACCCGCTTGGACTTTAGAAATTGAATACACACTTTGACAGTGAATAAAATGATCATCAGGCGGATTTGGTTAGATTCTCTCTTGTTCGAGATGTCATTGCATGGCACTTCAGATATTGAAACTGAATTTTATTTTGCATTTACATTTGTTGCCTAAATGTGCCTTGATATAGATCTGCCAGTATCCATCCTTTGATGATTATGAGGAATTGATTATGGCCGAAACTAGTGAACAATTACAATGCACTATCCAAGACTCTCTTCTCAACTAGACTTGGAAACAAGACAGGTTTTTTTGAACTCCTTTCAGGAATACTGTATAAAAATTGATTTTTTTTAGCAGTGTGAAAACTTTGTAAGGAATCAGGGCATTGATTTTGAGTACATGTTTCTTATACAATAATGTTTTTGAAATCTTCAATATTGGTTCAATTGTTCAATAGCCTTATTCCTGGTTTGGATCCAAAGCTGCTTTCTTCCATCATCAAACGTTCAGATTTCATCTCAGTCGCTGTCATTCTGTATACTGCAATGGTCAAGCTCTTCCTTGATGGAGAAGATACAATCTTGGTCTCAAATCAGTGGGATTTACGAAGCTCCAAACAGGTAAACATGGTTAATGCTGAACTTCATAGGTAATTAACGGGAACTGTTTGATCCCTTCCTCAAGTTGAGGTTTAATGTTTCTCTTTCAACACAAGTGGAAACAATCTGTTTTTATTTTTCAAGTCTAGTTGCTTTCATGATCATACAAGTAACTTATAGACTTTCTTTAATGCACTAGTGTTGGTTAACACTCAAAACAACATTTTCTTAGAGGCAATGGAGGGAGTTTTGGGTGTATGCATTGAGTGTTAATTTCTCTAAAGTGACATCTGGCGTCACCTCATTCTCCTCCCAGTTTCATCCAGGCAGGTTTGAGGTTGAAAGTGAGTGGGTACCTCTTATAAATGATTTTAGAATTAATCCACTTTTAATCAAGGATTCTGGCTTTAACAGCCAGGGATATATTTCCTGAGCTGTCAGCAACTTGCCAAGATCATTGAGGCGAGTGTACAGTGAGATATGCTTCTTCAGTGAATCTATCAGTATGGTTGAGGAGCTACAGTCATGACCAGATTGACAGGCTGCTTTCACAGCACTTAGTCTTTTGCTGCTTAACAAATGAGTGCCAACTTCTTAAAAGTCACTTTGCTCTATCTTTGGCTGCACTCCCTGCTGCAAGCCTTCATGACAGCATAGGAGTAGCTGATGAAGCTCCAACTTGCACCTCTGCTGAATAAGAGAGCTAGCAACACCAGCAATCAACAGTATTTCAAAGCAATCACAGGGATGGCTTCTACTGTGAACTATTTTACCACAGTCCCGTCAGATGTTCAACTCTAGACAAAAGCATGGTTACTCTTTATGTGGTATGAATTTGAGTGTCGAAGTACAGCAGCTATTTTATTTCATTTGACAATAAAATGTTCACATTTAGGGAAGGAAGAATATTTTGGGGGTTGTGGAGACAGTAGGATCTGCATAAAGCTACTGATTTTATATTAATCAATAATGAGTAATGAGAAAGTTTTTTTGCTTCTGTTTTCAGCCTGATCCTTTGGGATTAATAACACGAGGGCGTCAGTTCCTTCTTCGTACAATTCCAGATTGTCCTGCACAAACATGTTCACAAAACCAAGTAAGAGCTTCTGACACAATCAATCAAATGTATATAACCCTACAGATTGCGACAAACTTGTCCATGTACACTTACTTCACTTGATTATTACCAGCTATTTCACCTTGATGACTGTGACAAGTTTTGCATCTGAGAATACACAGTAGCTGTTTTGTTTCTGCTTGTTCCAAGTTAACAATGTAATGTTGTTAACGTGTACCAATTGAGAATAGTGTTCAGCAAAAATCAGATGTAAACCATGACAATTTAATACCATAAGAGTATGACAAAACTGCAAAATAGCTTCTCCATCCTTAACATGACTTTTGCTCTAAATTTTAAACATTTATACATGTAGTTCACTTCGTCAAATTTTAAGTTAGAATCCCAGAACAGTTTGATGCTTGCAAAAACAGCCCTATACAAATTACACAAACCTGGATAATTTTTTTTTAAACTTACTCTGTTTCATTATTCTTTGGATTTGTTCACACAAATTTTAATACAGCAACTTTTTTATTGCCCCAAGCAATGTGGGAGTCACTGGCTAGATCAGCATTCATTGCCCACACCTGATTGTCCTTGATAAGCTGGTGATGAGCCACTGCTTGAACTGCTGCAATCCTTTGAATGTAGGACACCTAAAGTACGGTAAGGAAAAGAGTTCTAGGATTTTAACCCAGCAAAACTGAAGGAGCGGTGATATATTTTCAAGTCAGAATTGTTCTCCTTGTCCTTAATAAATGGTCAAGGATTTGGAGGGTACAATTAGAGGATCCTTTGTGGGCTGCTCTGTTCTATATGGTCTGGAGCTATGTCCATATAGGCAAGTGGGGAGTATTCTGTCACATGTCTGAGTTTTCTTGTAAATGGTGAATAGGTAATGGGGAGATAGTGAGTGATTTACTCACCACAGAATCCCTAGCATCTGACCTGTTGTTGTAGCCCTAGAATTAGTACAGCTAGGCCAATTCAGTTTCTGCTCAACTGTAACTCCCAAGATGTTGATAATGTCACTGAACATGAAGCAGGTACAGTTATTCTCACTTGTTGGATGGGGTCAGTGCCTTCACTTGTCTGATGCAAATGTTACTTGCCCCTTCTAAGCCCACACTTGGATATTGTCCAGATTTTGCTGCATATGAACATGGACTGATTCAGTATCTGAGGAGTCATGAATGCTGCTGAACATTCTGCAGACATTGGCGAGCATACCTACTTCTGACCTTCCAACGGAAGGAAGGTCATTGTTTAAGCAACTGAAGATGGTTAGGTGTAGGACACTACGTTGAGGGACTTCTGCAGAGATGCCTTGATGCTGAGATGATGGAGAGATTTTGTAATTGCTCCAAGCAACTCTAACATCAGGCACAAAGGAGAATTTATATATTAAATAACCAGATTAAACATTTATTCACATTTACAGCATTCATCCCAAAACATGTCATAATAGCTTTATTTTTGAAATTATGAAGGCCATGTAGTGAAATGCAATTAATTAACTGAAACAGCTGGTGTAGTGATGGAGTATAACAATTTTCAAAACTTGCTTTTTCCTACTCCACCAACAGTTTTATTTTAGCTGATCTGATAAAGTTTGCATGAACAACTCCAAAGAAAACTGGAATGAAGCACTTAAGTGCAACAGCAAAACAGAAATAATTAAATCAAGGTTTTTTTGGCAGTGTTCCAGAATAAAGGCAAGTCTGAATATTGTACACTAGAAGTTTCTTTCCTGATCTTGACCCAAGCCACAACAAGCTGAATCTGCCTTTGCTTAAGGCATTATACAAACAACAGTGCAGGATTGGTCTAGGTTCTAGAGTTTCAGACTGAGGTGCCTGGTGTTATGAGAGTACTATGGGCCTGATTTTTTCTTGTAATTTATGTATGGAGAACATTCACTTCTCTGCTACCAAGCAAAGTAAAAGGTCTGTATTGGGCAATATTTTACTTCCATGGGATTTACAACACTTCTAAGGTGAGGTGGATTTTCTGCCTGGTAATAGATACAAGAATATAGCTAGTTGTTTGCAGGAGATGGGAAAAGATGTTTCTGCTTTGTTTAATTTTTGTTGTTCCAAAGGAAGCTAAGCACCTTTCTATTTAGCAGACAGGAGCAAGCAGCATGTCCAAAGATATTTCTTATTTCCAAGTAATCGTTGCATACTGGGAGTGGGGTTGCGGAGAGAACCTCCTGGTAACTGTTCTTGGACAGGTGGTGCAAGGTCCAGCCTGCCGCATCACTTGTGCTGTAAGTGCTAATCAGCATTACTGATTTTTGCACAAGGTTTCCCACAGGATTAAAAATTGATTATATTTCACAAGGCTCTATTGCTGGTATATTAAAGGCAAGACAGTATTTAAAATACTGCTGCCTCAGTTTTTCTCGTTGGCACCTAGTAGCCAAACATTTTGCAACAAGTAATTTACTGAACTGTAAGTTTTAATGATAAGTAATTTTTTTCCCCCTCCTTTAGCTGCAGGCTGCTTGGAAGGACATTGACCCAGAGCTGAAAGCTGCATTAGGTCATCATCTCAACATCTGCAATGGTGATGTTCTATATTCTGAACCAACAATGCTGTAAAGAATAAAACGGACTCAAATTTTGCATGTTAGCAGTTTTGTAAGATTGTTCTGCAAGATGCTGAAAATGCGTAATCGCTGGCTAGCTACATATTTCAGCATTCATATAAAATCAAAAAGCCCTAGTCTAAAACTAAATCTAGGATAATTTCTATGTTGTATATTGAATGACTAGAAACTAATTCAAATTTACCTATGTAAACCTTTAATAGAAAAATGTCAAGCTATATGGTTTCTGAATTTAATAAGCTCACAACAGCAGTGGAAAATGTTCTTATGCTTTGTTAAATAGTGAGTTTTTTTTGGTCTCATTTTCAAATAGGCAGATAATCTGTTCAAAGTACTTTGCCTAATAACATGAACCAATCATAAAATGGTGTGTGGCTGCTTTATTAGTCACTGCCTCTCTACAACTCAATGGTGCATGTTGACATTCCAGTCCCATTATTCTTGTAAAACTAAAAGTCAGTCTTGCAACTGAAGTCATCTAGTTTATTGCATAAATTTGAGAAGCAGGTTACCAGTAGTAACTAGCAGTGTAATTTAATGAGCAGATCTTTGATTATTCTCCAGCCTTGAGGTAGAGTAACTGATGAGGACAACCTTACCTTGTACAACTCATTTTTTGATCAATGAACTAATTTAGTTCCTGGTGAAGATTTAAAATTGCAATGTACTATAAATGGTATATAAAGAAACTTCATGCAGCAAGGCAAAGTAATCAACTTTTTAATCAAATATAGAACTATTTCTGAACTCAGCTGGTTAATACTGTTCATACAATAACTTTGGTTATATCATATCTTAGAAAAGTTTGTTACTGTAACAATATCAATCACTTGTATATATTTTTGGTCTTTGGTTTTAGTCAATTCAGTAATTGACTGGCTTAAAAAATACTGATCTGTTGAAGCTAAGCACAAACCTTTATTTGCAAACAGTTCAAGTATTTCGTCAAATTTAAAAATTACTGCCCATATTGACTATAAAAGGTGTATACCCACCTAAAATACCAGAGACTTGATAGTTTTTGAGGTGTTCTGTAAATTATCTAAAAGTTTAATGTAGGCACTCACATTTGTTATAGAAGATTTCACCATGTATTTATGATATTATAAGTTTGTCCTCTGCCGATTCTTTTTTTTTTCAATAAATTGTTTGAGAATTTATTTTTTTGATAGACTATATTGGGAATTATCATTTTTATACCCATTAGAATGTAACAGCATTACATTTTGCTATAATACACACAGTTGCACAATGTAAATTGTTGTATAAAACCACTGAAATACATTTGCTGACAATGTACTAAGTGGTAAGTGTTATGCAGATAGGAATGGTTGTATGAAAACTACACTTCAAGATTCATGATAAAACTTCATTTTATTATGCACCCCAATCTTATTTACCAATACAGGTTTACAGCAAGAGAAAAGCAAGTTTTATTGGGTGAGATGGGGAATTCTTGACTTATTCAAATTTACAGAATTGTGCCAACAAAATAGTTTCAGCTTACGTTCAGTTAATAAAACATCTTTGTCCCTCCCCTCATTAAAGTTATATAATTCAATTACATAGTAATTTCCATGTTCAGTTTTCACAGCAGAGGAGGAGAACAACCAACTAGCACAGTGAGTGGCCGCCCAAACTTGAATGTCTCAATTTTTCTAAAATGTAACGATGGGTCTCATGAAGATTGGCTTGTAACTAAATAAAAATTCAAGGATTGCTCTATACGTGGAGACAGCCGAGTCATCTGTTTTGGGATTTTAGTGCACATTTAAAACAGGCAAATGTATTGTCATGTCCCTTGAAAATTCTCTTTATTGTTTGGTATATTTGAGAGCAAAACATCAGACAAACCTCATACTCAATAACCTATGAAAATAGCCTTTATTCAGACTTAATTAGCATTCATTGAAGGGCCATCAGAAGCAAATCAGCCAAACCACCTCTCCATACACTCATGAAACATTTCAAGCTATACCATTGTTGGTATTGTGATAATTTTACAGTCTCCCTTTCAATTATCTCACATTTGTCTGTTTAACAGTACTCACTAGCTACACCACACTCGATATCATTATACATTGAAGCATTTGGCATTTTTTTTCCCCCAAAAATCAAGGTGTGTAATTAAGCTTCACTTTAAAAGGAAAGCCATGTAACCAAACATCTGCTGGTTTCTTGTCAAACAAAATGTTGCACTGATTCATAAATTCTCTGTTCAGACGAAAAACTTGCTGCCGCTGAAGACAAAAGGTGCAAATTGGTATATTCCATTCTTTTGGCTCTGCTCACAGTTGAGTAGCTTAATGTTAACTAGCTTCCCACTCAATGAATCGATCTGTGCTTAGCTGGTTTGGTTCTGTTTCAACATACTCAGCTGGTTTGCTTTTATCTGTGTTCTGGGTCAAGGGATGAACCATGGACATATGAACGTTCAAATTGTGGGCCTTCTCAAACCGCTTTCCACACTGGTTGCAAGCAAAATCAAGTTCAGCTTCTGCCTTGTGCTTAGTCATATGGTATTTCAAGGATGCCCTCTGTCTACACTGGAAACCACAAATTTCACACCTACAGGCAGAAGAGGGAAAAAAAGGCCTGTTATGCTCTTAAAAAGAAATGTAGATGGTCCTTTAGCTACAAGCGGGACTGACATTTAAATAATATCACAGTTCCTGCTGAAAACAGTTACTTTTTGTTTTAAAAATATCATCCTTGGTCCTCTGGTCATAATTGTAGAAGCCATTTTGTGGTGATAGAAGCTGGAAACATGAGATCAAGTTTGTTTAATACAATATCTTTCACATTGTCAAGATAATCATTTAATTAACTGGCTCCTCTTGGACAAATGGTTTACGTGCTGCACTACCTCCTTGTATGTTCATGCTGTTAGCCAAAGGAATAGTAACTTTCTGCTCCTGTCTAGAATCTCTTTCTCACCTTCCTTTCTGCTTCCAAAAATCAAACATAGAGCATCTTTATGTTTGAGACAAGGATGTTTTTTTCTGAGGGCCATGAATCTTTGGCTGTCTGGGTAAGAGTGTTCCAAAGAGGCAGAGTCATTGAATATTTTAAAGTCAGAGGTAGACTTTTGACCCCTTGCTCATCAAGAATCTGTGCAGAGTTGGCTGGAATGAGGAACTGAAGCCACAATCAGATCAACTGCAATCTTAGTGAATGCTTCAGCCTCCTATCCCAGTTCCTTTCTGCCCATTATGATGAATGGAGCATTGTAGGGAGCAAAATTGTGTGGCCTGGCACAAATTAGTTTCAGTAACTGGAAAACGTGGTGGGGTGGGTGGGGTGGGGGAAGGGGGGGGGAGAGGAGGAGGAGGAGAGAGAAAGAGAGAGAAATGCATGTAGTATTTCATTCATATGCATGGTCCTCCCAATGGGGCCGAGTCATGGAAATATTTCCCCATGTAGGTAGTCAGGTCTCCAGGCTTACCAGGATATGGTTATATGTGCGAAATCAAGAGTTGGAAATTCATGGATATGAAAAGAGGCAGATTGTGAAAATCAGTAATTCTCTTGTTTAAAATGGGGCAGCAGTGGTTAGCACTGATACCTCACAACACCAGGGACCCCGGTTCAATTCCACTCTCAGGTGATTGTCTGTGTAGAGTTTGCACATTCTTCCCATGTCTGTGTGGGTTTCCTCCCGCAGTCCAAAGATGTGAAGGTATGTGGATTTGCCATGAGAAATGCAGGGTTATAGGGATAGGGTAGACACTAATGATATAGGTGGAAAGAGGTTCTGCTGAGGGAATAAGGAGCTAGGGGCTAAATTACAGAGCAAAACCAAAAATGTAAGTTTCCACATTACTACCTGAACCACAAGCAAATTATCATAGGGTCAACAATATTAAAAGAGGTAAACAGCTGGCTCAGAGATTGGTGTGGGAAAAAGGGTTTGAATTTATGGGAGTGCTGGGGAAGGAGGGAGGGGTTCCAACAGAATAATTCTGGGATCAATTTGTTGAACTGCATAACTAAAGCTGTAGATAGGACTTTAAATGAAATTGTGTGTGTTTGGGGTGGGGTGGGGGGTTGGTTGCATGGGAATTTATAAAATCAAAGGTAAAAGAGAAGGTAGCTTTACAGCTTAGTGATGGGGATAAAAAGAAAAGGAAAAGCATATAGGCCAATGGACCAAGGAGGGGCAGATGGAGTTTAATTTAGATCAGTGTGAGGTGTTGCATTTTGTTAAGGCAAACCAGGACTGGACTTAGATGGTTAATTGTAGGGCCCTGGGAAGTATTGCTGAACAATGGGACCTAGGGGTGTAGGTGCATAGTTCCTTGCAAGTGGAGTCACAGGTAGCCAGGGTGATGAAGACAACAGACTTGCCTTCACTGGTCAGAACATTGAGTATAGGAGTTAGGAAGTCAGGTTGCGGCTGTACAGGACATTGCTGAGGCCAGTTTTAGAATACTGTGTACTATTCTGGTTTCCATCAGTAGGAAGGATGTTGTTAAACTTGAGAAGGTGCAGAAAAGATTTACAAGGATAGTGCTAGGACTGGAGAGTGTGAGCTATAGGGAAAGATTGAAAAGGCTGGGGCTTTTTTTCCCATCGGAGGCCAGAGGAAGTGGAGGAGGCCGGTACAATTACATTTAAAAGGCCTCTAGATGGGTATATGAATAGGAGCGGTCCAGAGGGATATGGCCAAATGCTAGCAAATGGGACTAGGTCAGATTGGGATGTCTGGTTGGCATGGACCAAGGGGTCTGTTTCCATGCTTTATGACTCCGTGATACGGAATGTATAAATGTCATTGTATCAAGAAACCATAAAAGTGTCGGAAAATTTAATAATAGAAAAAACTTCACATCTTTGTATCTTAATCCACAAAACATTCAGAATGAGGTAGATGAACTGATGGCACAAGTTGAGGTAAATGACTATGAACTCCTTGCCATTATGGAAACATGATTTAAAAGGAGATCAAAACTGCGAACTTCACATTCAGGGATTTTTGACCTTCAGGCAGACAGAAGGGATAGAAAAACTGGTAGGGTAGCACTATTAATAAGAAATGAAATGAGGAGAGTTGTGAGAGATAAATCTCAGATAACCTAAGAGTCCATTTTGGCAGAGGTAAAAAACAGCAATGGAAAGAAGACTTTGGTGGGAAAGGCTATAAATCAACAAATAAAAGGAGCATGCAAAAGAATATGGCAATAATTATAGATTACTTTAATCTTTACGTTGATTGGGTTAACTAAATTGGAAAAGGCAGCTATGACAATGAAGTCACAGAGCAACATGTCATGGAGCAGGCTATCTCGGATCTGGTAATGGGTAAGGAGGCTGGTTTAATAAATGACCTCCGAGTAAAAGATCCCCTAGGAAGTAGCGATCATAACATGATAGAACTTAATATTCAGCTAGAGTGTGAGAAACTTGGGTTGAAAATAATGTGTTTAACGTAAATAAAGGGTAGATAGATGTGCAGGAGTGACAGTAAGCAAGCAATTGCTGACATTTAAGGAAGTAATTCAATCTCTGCAAAAATACATCCAAGGAAGGAGGAAACATTCTAAGTGAAGAATAGACTAACCAAGGAAGTTACAGGAACAGTATTAAGTTGGAAGAAAGAGCATGTGAGGAGGAAAAAAGTGATAACCCAGAGACTGGAATGAAGTTAGAATCTAGCAAAGGATGACTAAAAAGATGATAAAGACAGAGAAAACAAAGACAAATGAACAAGGAATATAAAAACTGACAATAACAGCTTACCTAAATATATTAAAGAGAGGTCAAAGTGAATGCATGCCCTTTAGAAAATAAACCTGGGTAGACTGTTTTGGGGATCAAGACCATAAGATATAGGAGCAGAATTAAATCATTCGGGCCATCAAGTCTGCTACCCCATTTGACCATGGCTAATATGTTTTGAACCATATTCTCCTGCTTTCTCCCTGTAACCCTTGATCCCCGTACTAATCAAGAACCTGTCTATCTCTGTCTTAAGTAGACTCATTGACTTGGCCTCCATAACCCTCTGCAGCAACAGTTCTACATTCACCGTCTGGCTGAAGAACTTCTTCCTCATCTCAGTGCTAAAGGGCTGTCCCTTCACTCTGAGGCTGTGCCCTCAGGTCCTGGTCCTAGTCTCTATATTGGAGATATCTATATTGGAGATATCTATATTTTCTACCAGTTGAAACATCATCTTCACGTTCACTCTATCCAGGCCTATCAGCACTCTGCAAGTTTCAATCAGATCCCCCTTCATCATTCTTGTAACCCTCCTCTGGACTCCAAGGCCAGCATATCCTTCCTTAGATATGGCAATCAAAATGGCTCAGAATATTTCAAATGCAGTCTGAACCAGAGCCTTGTACAGCCTCAGCAGTACATCCCTGCTCTAGTTCTCTAGCCCTCTTGAAATGAATGCTAACATTGCATTTGCCTTCCAAGCTGCCACGTGAACCTGGATGTTAACCTTAAGAGAATCCTTTACAGTTTAGAAAAGAGTCTATGCCTCTTTTTCCTGCTAAAGTGCATAATCTCTCACTTTCCCATACTGAATGCCATCTGCCACTTCTTTGCCCATTCTCCTAGCCTGTCCAAGGCCTTTTGCATCCTCCCCGCTTACTCAACATTACTTGCCCCTCCACCTATCTTTGTGTCATCTGAAAACTTAACAACAATGCCTTCAATTCTTTTGTCAAGATCGTTAATATATAGCGTCAATAGTCATGGTCCAACACGGACCCCCGCAGAACTCTTCTAGTCACCGCTTGCCGTCCTGAAAAAGACCCCTTTTTCCCTACTCTCTGCTTTCTGCCAGTCAATCCTCTTCCCATGCCAGTTTCTTTGCCCTAATATCATGGGTTCTTATCTTATTTAGCTGCCTCCTGTGCGGTACCTTGTCAAAGGCCTTCTGGAAATCCAAATAGATCATGTCCACTGGCTTTCCTTTGTCTAACTTTCTCATTACCTCCTCAAAGAATTCTAACAGATTTGTCAGGCATGACCTTGCCTTGACGAAGCCCTATTTTACCAAGCACTTCTAAAGTACTCCACAATCTCATCCTTAATAATGGATTCTAAAATCTTACCACTAAGGTCAGGCTATCCAGCCTATTGTTTCCTGTTTTCTGCCTCCCTCCTTTCTTAAACAGCAGTGTTACATTAGCCATTTTCAGGTCCCCCAGGATGCTTTCTGACTCCACTGATTCCAGAAAGATCACCACCAATGGCTCTACAATCTCCTCAGGTATTTCCTTCAAAACTCTGAAGTGTAGTCCATCTGGTCCAGGTAATTTATCCACCTTCTGCCTTTCAGCTTCCCCAGCACCTTGCACTTAGTGATGGTCACTACATTCAAATTAGCCCCCGACTCAATGTTCTGATATGCTGCTGGTGTCTTCCATGTGAAAACTGATGCAAAGTACCTATTCATTTCTTCTGCCATTTCTTTGTTCCCCATTACTACTTCTCCAGCCTAATTTCCAATGATCCAATGTCTATTCTTGCCTCCAACTTACCTTCTGGATATCTAAAAAAAATTCTTGAAATCTTCTTTTAGCTAGCTTATGCTCATGTTTCATCTTCACCTCTCTTATTGCTATTTTGGTGATTATCTGCTGATTTTAAATGCTTCCCAATCCACTGGCTTCCTGGCATGAATTTCTGTTGTGCCTCCAAATTACCCCAGAAACTCCTGCTATTGCTACTCCACTGTATTCCCTGCTAGGTTCCCCTTCCTATCAACTCTGGCCAGCTTCTCCCTCATGTCTCTGTAGTTACCTTTACTCAATTCTAATACCGTTACATCTGATTCCAGCTTCTCCCTCTCAAACTGCAAGGTGAATTCTATCATATTATGATCACTACCCTCTAAGGTTCCTTCACCTTAGGCTCCCAATCAAGTCTATCTCATTACACATCACCAAATCCAGAATTGCCTGTTCCCTAATGGGCTCTACCACAAGCTGCTCCAAAAAGCCATCTCATAGATATTCCACAAATTCCTTTTCTTGAGATCGGTTACCAACCTGATTTTCCAAGTACTACATATTGAAGTTCCCCATGATTACTATAATAGTGCCTTTCTTACGTGCCTTTTCTATCTCCTTATTTATTCCCCACATCCTGACTACTCCTAGGAGGCCTAGAAACAATTGCCATCAGGGTCATATTTTTCTTTGCTGTTCCTCAACTTTACCCACATAGATTCTTAGACTTTTGACTTTATATCACTTCTTCATATCAATTTCATGTCTTACTAACAAGGCAACCCTGCCCCCTCTACCCATCTGCTTGCCCTTTCAATGGAACATGTAGCCTTGGATTTTAGTTCCTAGCCCTGATCCCCTTGCAGCCATGTCTCTGTAATACCCACAACACTAATTACCAACTTAAATCTGCACTTCAAGCTCCTTTCCCTCGTTTCATATACTGTGTGCACTTAAGTACAACACTCTCAGTCCTCCTTTGACTGCTTCCCTTCTCTTAGTTGTGCCCTCATCTGCTCTACCTGAAGTTAGATTCCTGACCCTTTCCATACTCTATCCTATTAGTTGTTCTGGAAATTTTAATAATCTCTGGTGAGCCCTCATATTCATGAGAAAGAAGGATTCTATAGAGGGATAAGCCAATCATGATTAACCAAGGAAATCAAGGCTAGCATCAAATTGAAAGGAAACAAAAAAAATCTGTAGTAAGGCAAAGGATTGGGAAAGTTTTAAAAGCCAGCATAAGACAACCAAAAAAAAGTAAACAGGAAGAAGATAAACTCTGAGGGAGTCCAGAACTAGGAGTCACAGTCTAAGGAAATGGGATAAATGATTTAGATCCCAGTTGAGGAAAAATGTAGTTGAGACCAAAACATTAAATGTTTTAAAGGAGTGAGATATAATCCTTAGGGCTAATGGAATCAAAGGAAATGGGGAGAAAGCAGGAACAGGGTACTGAATTGGATGATCAGCCATGATCATATTGAATGACGAAGCAGGCTCAAAGGGCTGAATGTCCTACTCCTGCTCATACTTGCTATGTAAACAAAAGTAATATCTAAACAGACAGCAAGAGCTTCTTTAAATATGTAAATTTTTATATAGTAGATTGGACCTGTTCTCATTTGAGTATAGAAAAATGAGAGGTAACCTTATTGAAACATACAAGACTTTTCCAGGACTTGACAGGTTTGATGGGGAAAGGTTGCTTCCTCTTGTGGGAGAATGTAGGACCAGAGGGCATAATCTCAGCATAAGAGTTTGCCCTTTTAAGACAGACGAGGAGGAATTTCTTCTCACGGGAGTGAATTTGTGGAATTATTTATCACAGAAGGCTGTTGAGGCTTGTTCGTGAAGTGCATCAATGGCTGAGATGGACAGATTTTCCGTAAGAAAATCAAGGGTTATGGGGAAATAATAGGAAAATGGACTGAGGATGATCAAATCAGCTATGATGTCAATGAATAGTGGAACAGGCTTGATGGGATGAATGGGCCGCTTCTGCTCATGTCTTATGGTCTTAAGTGTCACCTCGCCTCCCCTACCCATCTCTGAAGATTCTTTCAGTTATTGATTATTCTTTGCATCTGCTGTTATCACTCTCGAACTTGTCCTTCTACCAGGTTTAACCAAGTTGTTATATATTATTATATATATATTGTTATATTATTTTCAAACTTTGTACAGAAAGAGAGGAAAAAATGAAACTGTAAAGTTTAATATTCTGAATTTCTCTGGGTTCTTACTGTAGAGGCTTTGCTCCAGAATGGCGCATCTGGTGAACTGACAGGTGCTTTCTCTGTTTGAAAGTTTGTCCACATTCATCACAAATGTAGTTTCTTTCTTCTGCAAGTTATTTAAAAAAAAACATGTTTTTTTGTACAATTTGAAACCACAACAGGATGTTATAGTTCTGAGATGAATGCTTAATTTCACAAAGATAAAAAGGCAGACGTAGAAGTGCAAGTATTTTTCAGGTGACATTGGAATATTTCATCCATTCGCTTTACTTTGCACAATTGTTGAACAATGCAAGTCTGTTTAAGATCATAAATCATATGTACTAACTTCCATTTATATAAGCATACACAATGTTTCTTTAGAGACTGGAGAGTAATTGCACAGTGCAGAAATGGATACAGTGACATATTTTTAACTGAAGAATTGAACTTATCTATCTTTACAGATAAAGGATGTGATTAAGGAGGCTCATTTAATTAATTAGCCACAGGAACAATTTCCCATCATATCATCTGCTTTTTGGCTTGATTTGTTGCTTCCACACCCCAGCTCAGAAGATCCTTTGACATACAGATCATTGTATGACTGACAGCAGTTGACAGTGGTACTAATACTAGTTTACTACATATCCTTATACTAGTTTATACCACATCTTGTTATTTAATTATTTGCCAAGTTTGTGTCAAGGAAGAGAGGAAAAATAAAATTAGAATACAAGTTGCATCTCCCAATGTATGTATTACAAGATCACAATTATGCTGGCATTGTAAAAAATTGAAGCAGATTGGTTCAGCTCATATTAAACACGCATGGAATTTCTACCATTAGCAGAAGAAAATATTCCTCTAGGATTTCCAACAACCTTCCCCAGAGTTACACATATAGATTAACAGAATCCTTTGGAAATTTCTGCTCTCTAAGATCATAGAATATAATAGAATCCCCTACAGTGTAGAAACAGGCCCTTCGGCCCAACAAGTCCACGCCGACTCTCAGAGCATCCACCCAAACCCATCCCCCTATAACCCACCTAATCTACACATCCCTGAACACTATGAGCAATTTAGCATGGCCAATCCACCTAACCTGCACATCTTTGGACTGTGGGAGGAAACCGGAGCACCCGGAGGAAACCCACGCAGACACAGGGAGAATGTGCAAACTCCACACAGACAGTCACCCAAGGCTGGAATTGAACCCAGGTCCCTGGTGCTGTGAGGCAGCAGTGTTAACCACTGAGCCACCATGCCGTCCCAAAAGCTTAACATACAGTCTGTAATAATCTGATTTTAACTGCAATGCATTAATAATCTATTGAATTTGGTACTGGACTCAACCAGAGGTTAGGCTGACTAGTTTTTGAAACTCTTCCCTGCCCATTAAGATATGCAACAGCAAAACAATTGTGGGAATATTTGACTTTCCTAGAATACCCATAAGATCACTGAACATGGTTGTGAAGGAACAGAGATGAAATGACATATGGCGGCAATATAAATGAAAAGCTTATGTTATACTACTGTTGATGGGTTACATACTTACCTGTGTGAACAAGTTTCACGTGGCGCTGCAGATAGCGATCAATCATAAACACTTTGTTACATCCTGGGTGAGGACAGGGTCGCTCACGCACCTCTTCATGGCGTTCTTTCATATGTTTCTAATATTAAAACAGTTTACTGATTAGGCTAGAGGTTACAAAAATCATAAAATAACAAAACTAGAGGCTCTACTCGAATGCACGTAGCACTTGAAACAAAACAGATGAACTAATAAAAGATCAAAATATGATTGCCACTATAAAGACATGGCAGCAGGGTTGCAGAACAACATAGACTGGGACCTGAATATTGAAGGGTACATGACATTCTCCATGGATAGGCAGCAAGGAAAAGGTGGAAGGGTAGGTCTGTAAGTCAGTGGTGGTGTTTACATAATGTAGGGGGATGACTGAAGTTCAGGAAACTAGGATGTAGAAGTGATTTGGGTGGAAATGAGAAATTATAAATGCAAAAAGATTGCTTGTGAGAATGATATAAAGGCTCCCTAACAGCAGCCACAGGGTAATATGCAATATAAAGAAAGAAATAATAGGAGCTTGTCAGAAAAGAGCAATGATAATCGTGCAGGATTTTAATCTACATATATAGTGGAAAAATCAAAGGGGTAAAGGTGGCCTAGATGAGGAATTCATATAATTTTTTTCAGGTTAGATCCTTAGAACAACATGTTTCAGAGACTACGCTAGGTCTGGTACTATGCAACAAGTTAGAATTAGTTAATGACCTCAAGCTGAAGGAACCCCTAGGTGGCAGCAAATATAATACTACATTTGAATTTTAAATACAGTTCAAGGGAAAAAGAATGGGTCCAGGACTAGTTTTTTACCTAAATACGTCAATTATGAGGGCAAGCAAGTTGAGCAAACTGCACTGGCAAAATATGCTAAGGAATAGATCAGTAGAGATGCAGTGACAGACATTCAAGGTAATATTTCAGAATACAGAATAGATACATTCCTACAAGAGAAAATTCCAAAGGGAGGACACATCATCTGTGGTCAACTAAAAAAGTTAAAGATGGTGTTAAATTTAAAGAAACAGCATATGGTTATGCTAGGATAGGCCAAAGGTCAGAAGATTGGACAGCGTAGCAAAAAAAGCATTACAAATTAAAGTATTGGCAAAGATCTGTAGCTCGGGTTGTGGATGAGGTTGTTGACTTGCT